AGGAGAAGGGAAGTTTCCAGGCTTATTCCCAGAAATAAACCTAGAGTCTAAGGAAAAGAAGAGTCAATAGAAAGGATCTTATGGGCATGAATCCTCATTTTGCAGAGAACAGGCAGATGTCCTGCTATGAGAAATGGTTGAGACAGAACACCAAACTTTAATGGCAATGGATTGGCATGTGACTCCCCCCATGGGTCTGTGGTTAGTTGACCTGCAGTTGCTAAGCTCTTTCCCACAAGTGACTGGAGGGAAAGTTTAGTCAGGTGAAAGAGAAACACTGTACTTCCAGTTCCCACTTAATTAGATGTGGGGATTGAGAAAGCAAAATGACCTTGAGACAGCATCACTGCACTTTGCCGGACAAGCAGAAACACCATGGTACAATGGAGAACTTCTCATGTGCCATGATAGTGAGAGCCAAATTCTTTGGGCACACTGTGAGGAACACTGCCTGTGGAGAATAATTTTTAAGTAGCTTCAGCAAATAGTGGTAAAAACAAAACAAAACAAAAAAACCATAACAGCTATAATAGTAGCAGCAGAAGAGATTGTTAAATAAAAAGCACCAGGAGAAAAATTAGAAGAGCAATCCCCTGAATTATATGGGTTTTGCTAGGGATATTTACATAACCAAGTCCTGACTGGTCAGTTTGTAAAATAGCCCCTGGAAATAGTGGAGACAGTGGGATTGGAATTGGAATGTTGTAGTTTCTAAGCAAACAAATTCTTCCACTTGGAAAATGGACCATCTTAGGGGGTGGTCCTTAGTTTATTCGAAACAGATGTGTGATGAAAGGTTGGTATTAGCAAAGTACTGTCCTTCAGTCTGGTTTTATGTGGTTCCCTGAGACACACGAATATGCTCTACTTATTGAAAAACACTTAGAAAGATAAGGATTTTAAGATTGTCTGTATGCAGTTGCTTCCTGTGACCCCAACCTCTCCAGAGGACTGTCCTCTGGGAGAGTATAATCACTGGGAAGAAGCACGCATCCCCAAAATGATAACAAAGGACTACTCAACTATATGCTTTATGAAGGCAGAGATTTAATCTACTTAGTATACCATAGTATTTTAGTTTCAAGCACAGTGGCTCATGCAGGCTTACTGCAGTAAGTATTTATTTAAAGGAATAAAAATATGAACCTAATTGAAAATGGACGAGTTAACTTCTATTCCCCACATTTTAACAGATCTAGTGTTCAGAGGAACATTCTCAAGACATACATCTAAAAATGATTAATATAATATTTTAAAAACATTTTTTAAATGCATTGCTGGGTTTGATTTTTAAAAAAGGTAAAATTATTTTTACCTTTTTTTAAAATCTATGGGCAAAAAAAATCTAAGGCCAAAATCTATGAGAACAAGCCAATTCAAAAAGGTAAGCAAATACTGGCACAGGCCTCTACACACACTGATGAAGTTGTGCCCTGTATGCGAGCATCCAATCACAATGAAAAGTGAGGCAATATTTGGGCCGCAGTCAGCTCCTCAAGGCTCGTATCATGGTACAGGCCTGAGTCAACCCCTTTACCCTTTTCTAATTCATCCACCCTTACAGGGTGCCAGCAGAAGCACTGAGCTGGCTTTTGCCTGGCATCATCTGCATATCTCGAAGTTTTAAGTCTTTGTCTTTAACAGACCATATTATTAG